TATATATATATTTTTTTTTTTTTGCCTTTTTCACTCCCTTAGCCAGGGAGTAATCTCCCTAGCTACATCCCTACTACCATATCCCACTCTAACAAAACTGAATCACAATTATATTCATCACAGCCTCTCCCCCATCTACCCCCGCCAAATCCACCCAAAAAACTTTGTCCTAACTTACATAAATCTGGTTCCCCCTGTACCTGTCCTGCAGGTGTGTCAGGATTGACCTCTCTGTGACCTCAGGTAAGCTGGCCAGGTCATCTGTGCTGGACACTGGTGGAAGGCGTACCTGGACAGGGGCAAATCAACAGAAGTTATACTACCATAAAATCTAAAATAATCCAACTGTTTTAAAAGCTTTCTCATTACAAATGCTGTGACCACTGTACACATACCTTTTCATCGATCAGTTCCTCCTGTATCCTAGCTAAGTTAAGGTTCTCATAGACATCTTCTTCCTCATCCTCATCCTCATCTTGTCCAGGAGCTGGGGACTTTGCCACCCTCCTCTGACCCTCTTGAAGCTCCTCCTGCTTGGACAGGGGCACATGTCTGGGGGTCCTGAAAAAATGGGACATTTCTGAGAGTCCTGAAAAAGTGGGACATGCATGACAGTCCTGAAAAAGTGGGATATATATATATATATGAGAGTCCTGTAAAACTGGGACATTTTTGAGAGTCCTGTTAAAGTGGGATGTGTATGAGATTCCTGGGCTGAGATAGAGGGTTTTGTATGAGAGTCCCCATAAAGTGTGATATTCCTGGGAATCCTGAAAAAGTATGACATACATGACAGTCCTGAAAAGATGGAGCATGTATGAGAGTTCTAAAAAACTGACACGTCAGAGTGTTCTGAAGGGTGAAAATATGTCAGTTTCAAAGTCAAATCAGGAAAACACGTAAAATTGAACAATATGAAACAATAATTAACAACCACACACATATTTTCTTATATATTTAGTTACACTAACAATTATCAAAATAAAAGTTCTTAAAACTTAGTTTCAGAAAACACATCACTGTGATCAGTGTTAGAAAAAGATAAATTTTAAATTAGTAAAAGTAGGTTGCAGGTCTAAGGTTAAAAACTATGCAGTCTGTATTCCCTGAAATGATCATGATATGTGAAATACTTACATGGTTCTACTATTCACTCTTAAAAATGTAATCTCAGAGTCAGCATCCTCTCCTCCAATTTGGATTTCAACCTCCATCTTTGACCCAGAATCCTGTTCTGCTCTCTTCAACATGTCCACTATTTTTTCAGTCCCTCCAATATCTGATGGCTTCTGGTTGTCATTATTCACAAGATGTGGGTTTGCTTTCTTTTTCAGCAGCATGCCTATTATCTTTATCTGCAAAAGAGGGTACCAACACACATTCAAAGCATTACCTGTATATGCTGTAGTATGAGAGAGAGAGAGAGAGAGAGAGAGAGAGAGAGAGAGAGAGAGAGAGAGAGGGGGGGGGGGGGGGGGGGGAGGGGGGGGGAGAGACACCCAAATTGCAACAACTAAATTTGCANAAAAAGAGAGAGAGAGAGAGAGAGAGAGAGAGAGAGAGAGAGAGAGAGAGAGAGAGATGCTGCTGGAATGGGAAGTAAGGAAGAGTGAAGGAGTGAAGGATAGGGAAAGAGGACTGTAGGTGGCTATAAGGGGGAGGAAGGAAAATAGAGGGGGCTGTGCACAGAAAAAGAAGAGAGAGAAAGAGAGATTACCTGGCAGTACTTGGCAGCTACATGTAGGGCTGTCCATCCGTCACTGTCCTGGGCATTAACGTCCACTGTACTGTCCAGCAGTAGCTTGACCACCTCTCTGTACCCATTAGCACTTGCTATATGTAACTGGAAAACAGATTTTGATGTGTAATTTTAAACTTTAGGTACAAAAGATTAGAACAGGTGTTATCAACTTCCACCATATGAAACAATTAAAAATATGTCACATACATTTGCATACCATGCTTAATTTCCTTTATGCAAAATCAAGTGTCTTTCTTTGCTTTTCATCCTTGTCATTGTGGCAAATACAATAGCCAAAATAACAGTTACTCATTCTTGTATTTTAAAGTGTCAATAAATTAGTAATACAAACACACGTCATTCTCATTATCAGTCATATTAAACATGAAGACTGGCAGAGTGATCAGGAACCTACCAGAGTCACACCGTCATTGCTGGCAAGACCCACTTGACCTTGACCTTGAGCCAAAAGTTCCTTTACATCAGATGCCATCCTCCTGGGAGCTTGGAGACGTATTTGTTTCAATTTGTTGCTGTCAATGCCTATATTAAAAAATGATAATTAGATGCAAATTTAGCATATCCTGTGCATACCTAAATGTGTTCTAATATATAAACTTCAGAGCTGAAATCTTGAAAAACATTCTAAAATTTTATATACTTCTCAAAGTAGACTGGTCCAGTTAAGCATACTTCCCAGTGTGAATTAAGGAGTTGGGTCGGTCCAACTCTGAGGGGGTTTCTCACTAAAGTGCAATCAGTTTAATCAGCACACAATAGTTAAGTACCCCCAGCTGCTTGAGGACGGGTGTCAGAAAATTCAATTAAACTGACTCCACTGATTGCTCTTGAGCAAGATCCCCTACAGATCTGGACCAGCCCAGCTTGTACGCTGTGTTACTCGAAATGATTGTCTTAATGATTACCGAGTCTGTCAAGATGCCTCGCGAGCATTAACGCCACCTCACTGCCCTCTGGAGCGTGGTCTGAGGGGAAGTTCCCATCTATATCAAGTACTGCAGCATCTGCACCATTCTGTAACAATATTAAAGAGGATGGTATGCCTTATTTACAAGATAAATACAGAATATAATAATAATAATAATTATAATAATAATAATAAACTTTACTGATTTTAGCACATTTTCACCAAAGGACCATAACCTTACAATTATATGTACTTTGTATTTATGTTGTTTTTCATCTTTCACAGTGTGACAATACAGTAATTCAATTGTGATGCTTACAACAGTACATACACAGTGTAAATTAAATAATTAATGTAAACAGTTAACAATCTTTTCATTTCATGATTTAATCTGTTTCTCTGAGTTAAATCACATTCAAAATTTATCTTAAAATATTAGTAGTTATAATTTAAGTCAACCCTTGAAGTGTCACCTGTAGCAGCAGCTGCACCATATCTGGGTTGTCACAAGCAGCAGCTATGTGAAGTGGCGTCCACAGGTCCACATCTCGTGCATTCACACTTGCTCCTCGTGCGATTAAAACTTCAGCCACTGATACATTGTCATCTTGAGCACACTTAAAGAGAAATTTTGAAAAGAAATTATTGTAGGTATTGTGGATATTTTCTTTGTACTTTTTAGTTGTTTTTTTTTTTTTTTACTTTTCAGGCAATGCAAGTTTCATTAAATTTTTATTTTCATATGAGAAGTTTTCATTCAATAATGCATGTAAAATTTAAAGGGATAATAACTCTTCATTTCGGCCAAAAAATGAATTTTCCTGGAGTAAACAACAATTTTCCCATACTTACCAATGGTTAATGAATCCATTTTTACATTCAAGTTAGTCCCTGGTTTTTTTCTAAAAAGTTTGGTTTTTTGTTAAAATCTCTTAAGAGATTTTAACAGAGTATAGCCATCAGTGGAGGTCACGTGGTTTAAAGACAAGCTCAGATATCAGAATAATAGCTACAACTGCCGTTTTTGTGGTAAAACAGAATATATTATATTTCTGTGAGTTATTCACAATGTTTTTATTGTGAAATAAAGATCTCATACGAAGAGTTATTATCCCTTTAATGGAAATGATGGTATAAGGATGTTAAAGGATGAAATATTTGGGAAAATTTCTGGAATAGCGAGTACCAAAATTCAGACTTTTCTCATGCCTTTATGAAACATCAATTACTTATTTCAATACTACTATAAGCATTTACAAACAAGTCACGTTTCGCTCCATCTTCGTAAATTTTTTACAACTTTCCCTCATTTTTGTTGAAAACCTCTGCAGCATTAAATGTAATGAATGGATTTCAGGGGGAAAAAAGTTAACCTGAAAATTTTGTTCAAATGTTGCGTAAAAGGAGAAATGTGTGCAAAGGAAATGCTCAAAAGAGACTTTTTTATTGTGTCCCTGTAAGACTGTGAAAAAAATGTCCAATAATTTATTCTGCCTACCACCTCCATATTACTAACATTACTGAAATATACCCATGCAATACATGACTATTCTATATACTATACAATTTTCTCACCTGTGTGTGTGTGTGTGTGTGTGTGTGTGTGTGTGTGTGTGTGTGTGTGTGAGTGCGTTCTTGTATATGTGCATGCTTTCATGTGTACATGCATTCATGTATGTGTGTGATAAGCCCATACTTGTGAATACAATTTCATGCAGCCACAGCATAACTGTTCATATTTGGTTGAGATTTCTTAACAGCATTCATAAACATTCAACACATAGTTTGAGGTACATATAACTTCCCTGATGCATTTTCATGCAAGGTCTTAACACAGTGACAACGTAATGTAAAGGTATATAACACACAAATTTGATTACTTTGCCTATGGAAACATAACATCCTGTTACAAGTCATTCATCATAACATTGAAATAAGAAAATTGAAGTTTTACATTACTTAAATAGTATTACATCAAAATTATGATTTGAATGTACAAGCTGATGGTTAGTTTGGGGTTAAAATTATAGAAATAACATTATCTTACTGCAAACGCATATTATATGACATCACAACATTAACATCTAGCATTTAACTTTATATATATTTATATTTCTTCAGGCATTATGTATAAATACTGATGATGAACACCCATGCTGGACAAACGTGTTATGTATATATAGGGAAATTCACACATACGTGAACAAAAAACAAGGCAGGACATAATTTCTTTATCCTTGAATTAGGTGAAGTTCTAAATGACACTCAGAACAACAACTGATACAAAAGGACAATTCATTTATATTAGAGCATCAACACCTTAGCAGAGAGCCATCTCTGCACAGTTAAACTTCAATCAAGCAGAGGGACTTCTACACAATACCACTTAGTTCAATTAGTACACAAAAAAACATGCCCCAGCACACACTTTTTTGCCTGAGTAACCAACAAAAGAAAACATACTTACCCAAAGCTCTACATATCTAATTCTAGAGGCAAGTGGAGAGAGAGAAGAAAAGACAAAAGAGAGTTTGCTAAAGATTTGGTTAAATTATGAATGGAAATAAAGAGATCACCCTGAGCTTCAGAGCTAACTTGACACTAACCTTTTCACTGTAGCCTATCTCCATCGTGTCAAGTAACCTCTGACGAAAATAGTTTGACCTATTTTATATAAGCCAATCGAATCCATGTTTCAAAATTTTTCACCAAAGTTTGGTGAAAACGCTGATTGGTTGATCGTCAATCGGCAATCCTCGGCTGATTCCGCAAGCTCCATACTAACAACACAGTTATTGTCGAGTGCGGAGACATCCGAGTAGTTCCGAGTGGTTCCGAGTGCATAACCGTACACAAAGAAAGCATGGAGTATATCGGAATTGAAACCAGAGCAGTATGATGCCCTGCATCATTATCTACTGAGGGATGATGTATTTTGCGTGCTGCCCACAGGTTACGGCAAGTCCCTGATATTCAGCCTTATCTTTGATTGGTCCGGATTTGAACAAAGCGCGCTTTGACTCGTTCGCGTTCATTGGCTAGATCGTTCAATGAGTCATTGAGTGCGGGCTTTAAATTTGATTGGCGGGCGGCGGGGGCACTCGAATCTGGTCAGAGGTTACTTGACACGATGGAGATAGGCTACAGTGAAAAGGTTAGTGTCAAGTTAGCTCTGAAGCTCAGGGTGAAAGAGATAGACAGAGAATTAAATAATTAAATTTAAAGTTATTAAACCATTTATTGGAATGAAAGATCAACTCAAAAAGTTAATGAATATTAAGGCAAAGAAGAGTGGGTCAATTACTAGTATTTGGTAAAAATGCTTTAAAATTATTTAAACAATTTAAAAATTGAAGAAAATTTTATAAATCAATACCACTGACAGATTATTATAAGAAAAAAACTATTAACCTAATAAATATCTCCCAACAAAATATGTAAAAAAATATATTTATTAGACTAAAGTAAAAACTTCCTTAGCCATACTGGTATTTTCATTTAAGAAAATATAAGGAAAATGTTTGTGAGGTTTGTATATAATGCTACATATTCAAAGAGATAACCATATGTTAGACTAATTTACAATTTCAAATTACAATTCAAGATTGAAATTAGTGCAGCGAAACATGTGTTCATGAAAATAGAGCTCTTTGAAATTTTGACTAAAATGTTCCTGGTGCAGTTATAATATTAAAAATTCTCACCTGGTGAAGAAGCGTGCCACCTTTGGCATTTGTTAAATTAGGCGGGAAACCATCCTGTAGTAGTTCCATAACTGATAATTGAAGAATACAATTATCTTTACATATGGGCTGTGATTTGACATAGTGTTGTTACTAATCAAGGATCTATTTCTATTAACTGCAAAATACATCAAACTATATACTGACAGTAGTTACTCAATTAATCTGAACACCAAGGGTTTTTCTTTCTTTCCAAAATGTTTTTTTTTTTTTTTGGTAATACTTCAAAATGTTGTTTCACAAATTCTGAAAATTAAGTGTTCTCTGTGTGAGGAAATTAACAGTTAACAGCAACATCAATAATGCATTTATAAGCAAGCAATAAATCTTCTTTTTTCTTTTTTTTTTTTCTCCTTGTTTTCTTTTAACCCAGAAATGTGTCAGCAAACACCTACCCTCTCTGTCATCAAATCTTGCTGTGGCATCCCACAGACGGGCACTGCCATGAAAGTTAACCTGGGTCCCCTTTTTGTTCTCCTTCCGCTTCCGCTGCACTCCTCCTCCTCTCTGGGCTTCTTCCTTCTGTCGTTCATTGTACCTTCTCACTTGCTCGTGTCTGAGCTGCTTGCAGAGTTTCAGTCTCTGCGGCAAAGGTAGAGAATCCAGCAGAGCTTGGTCTATCTCCATTATGCATAAGAGTCCAATCACTTGTAGGTTGATTCAAGTGCCTTTACTTCTTCTTTCCTTTTTTAGCTGTTCCTTCAATAATCATCAAGTCAAAAATGAAACCTACACCACAGACTTAATTTGTCCCAAAATTATGCTGCTCGATAGAGGTTGGGGAAAAATGCCTAAATTGTTAACTCCACTTGAGTTAAAAATACTTTTTATAAACAGCAATGTATCTTCTTTTCTGTTGACATCAAAAAGTTATGTAATACCTAAAGTTTGCACAATGGCAAAAAAAACTCCATTTTTAAATTCTGACTTCCTGCATTCTTGAAATGATTGAACTGAGTGCCTTTTTGACAGAATATATTGTCTGCAAGCACATTATTACTCCATTGACTTACAGGTATAATTTATCAATTATTTATCAAAACCTCATCAATTAAATATTAATTTAGTTAATATTTTGTGGTTCTGTACCATTCAGTCCTCTTCATTATTATAAGGCCTTCCTGGGGCTTTGTCTTTCTAACTGTACTGCCACTAAAATGACCTGCAATTAAACACAGATAACACACATAAAAACTATGTAAATTTGTTTTAAACATGCATTTAAGTAGAAAAAACCTAATGTATGAATAGACATTTATCATATAATAGTTCATTTAAAATTTTTCCTATCTCAAAAAATAGATTGATATAATCTGTAGTATATATATACTGAGTTTAAATCTGTTCCGCAACACTGGTGTTCTATATACTGTGTGTACCACGTTCTAATTGTATGTATGTACATGTGGATTTTTAAAAATACTTCTGATCCTGAAAATAAAGAATAGCTGCAGTCAACTACTAGTACTGTTTCATTTTGGCAAAAGAGGTACTAGCTAGACAAAGCGAACCATTTCATACATGTATATTCCTTGGCTTTACCCAGCACGTTCATCATTAGCTACCTTACTCTAACTTCAAATGAAAATGATGAGTTCGTGGAAAACATTATTGAATGTCTTAAATATCTGACCACTGTATAAAAGCATACGGATGTGAAATTTCTTAACATTACCCCTGCAAACATTTTACAAACTGAAGATTTATTAAAACTGTTTACTTATTTTAAAAAAATTCTGATTACATCCCAAGTTCCTATTCAGAATTTCACCAAATTTCCAATAATTTTATTTCACTATTTCTAATCTCAGGGATTACATAATATGTCTTAACAAAAATAATTACAGAAAATATATCTGAAAATTCATTCCAATTAATAGTAAGAACCTGCTGTACTCATACTGGCTTAATTTGTATTATATTATACAATATATCATATAACAAACAGTAAGCAGTGGGCAATAAACATGGCTATCTACCAAGAAATATATCTAACATTATCATAAGTCCCTAACTATGCCAATACAAGACATTGTTTTATACTTAGATATTTATCATTACTAGTAAGCTGACAACAGACTGAAGAGATAGCAATGAAACACTTAAGTACCTTTTATTTACACTCATAAATATTATCTGATACAGAGTGGTGGAATTCCACATACTGATCAATCTTTGATCTGGCCTCCAATCAGTCCACAGTTACTCACAGCTAGCTATATTGTTACCTGCATACAAAGACATTGTGGTGAAGTGCCCTAAATTATGTAAGAAAGTCCTCCATTTTGAGGGAGTGATTGAGCCACTTGCTTCTTGTAATACCAAAGAGTCCAACATTTCCAAGTACCTTAAATATTTGAGCTGCCTCCACCCACCTCCATTTTCAATACTGAAAAAAAAATCCTATCCCCCCCCCCCCCATATTGGGGAGGGTGTGTTTGGGAGGGGGTGGAGCACAGTGGTTCATGTGTCTTCCCCACCCCCATCCAGTAAGTACACCTGCCAAGTCAATTAATGCTTCTAAACTTCATAGCTATTTTACTCATTTTTTAAAACCATAAACCTATTTATTTTCAGGGGAGGGAGGCAACTTAAAAATCGCCCTTTCATAATGAAATGCACCATCATGTATCACACTGAGAATTGGGTTAAATGACACAAAAGAGCTGCCATATGATTCACCAATGTTGAGTTCTAACAGTGTTATTTAAATCAGTGTACACAAATTCTTCCAAGAAAAGGATCGCGTCATTTTACAAGTAGTTATACAGTCATCTACTGCAGCTATATGCCATCTTACAAACAATCCTGACCATATTATGATAACCAGTGTTGCTAAGTTTATGCGTCTCTCTCTTTCTCTCTCTCTAACACACACACACACACACACACACACACACACACACACACACATGCAGGGATGCAAGACCCCCTTAAGCATATTATTCATTTCTTATCACAAACCACTGACAGCTTAATAACCCCGTAACTGTCACCCTGAGTTGTCTCCGTAGTGACCACAACATTCCCATACCCAACACACTGTGTCTCATATGTGTATGGAAAATGGCTTTTAACCCACATAAATGTACTTTCTATACAGACTCTGTGCTATGCGAACAGTGGGGAGTTACCAGTGTACTATGAAACTCAGGGTACACAAATGCATGCTACAATCTGTAAATGTTTTTAAAATTGAAATTTATTAAATAAAACTGAAGATTCCCTGATTCTGGCACATTTTACTAACCTCTCGCCAAATTAAACTTTCTGTTAACCCCTACATCTATTAGACTATACAGACCTAGTAATACATTATTTCTCCTCCCTTTTCCCAATACTAGGTGCCTCTACAGATTATTTTAAAAAATTGGGGATTAATTTATTTTTCAAGATAAAAATACTTGTCGCATATCCCTTCCACACAATTTTAAAGCAGTTCTCTCCCCCTGATCCATCTACTTCAACAGCAGAGCCAGGAGGGAGAAGTAAAATGGAGGGGTAACATATACATCACCTGCGGTATGTACAGGTCTCTGGTTCAGTCAACCGTGAATAAAGCTACCAGTGCAGTGGTTCATTCAATATTTGTGTGTCGATCGGCACGAATTACGTTCTTCCCCAAGTGTAGGCCTATGTACTTGAACTACGCAACTTAATGAATCCAGCAGCAGTGCCAGCTTATTACATTAATTTTCGAGCCTTTAGTTATCTATGTGTGGATATCAGAGGGGTTTGGGGTTTAAAAAAAGGGTGGCATGGCCATCCCCCTTTACCTCGTTATCCTGTATCCGCCCTGCCTCTTTTATATCAGGCCTGGAAGGTGCTAACAGACACCTATTAACTAAATGAGTTGTTATTCTATTACTTAGTACAGCTAGCGGGGTGCCATGTTCACTGTAAAATTATGTCCTTCGCCGGGGTCACCTGTTGATTGCTACTTATCGCCTACTAGTACTAGTTATAAATGTAGTTATGTGTAAAGAACTGGCTACTCAGTTTAAAAAATCTTAGTGCTCCATGGGACAAACTTATACATACCGATTCTGTTAAAGTCCTGATTGAGAGGGAGAAACAGTATTTCCACTTGTTTTTTCACTCTCAAAGAGACTTCATCGCACTTAGACAAAAAGTTGACAACTTTTGATTAAAGATCTCGGCGTGAATGACAACACGGAAGTAATTATCGCGCATGCGGATGTTTGTCTCGTGTTGCTATTTTTAGATCCAGCAACGTGACTCAGCGCGAGACGTGACACGCTGTTGAATGGCTTGCGGTGAATAAATCGATTTGTGGATTGATGACTGTGGATCGAACTGTCACCTAGTTATCGTCACTGTGGTTGAAACAATCACATAGATTTTGGTATCTAATCGTGGTTATATGACAACTCTGTCAGGATTATAAGTCTCCCTCTTGTGTAAATCAACCCTTGTAATGTACAACAAGGATCGACATGCGACGTCAGTTGGCCACGCCCAATGATAGAGAGCTTTATATCGATCATGAAATTAGAGGAAAACAGAAATGTCATTCATCGATTAATGATAATAATAAATTATTAATAATGATAATAATAATAATAATGTTAATAATAATAAATATACACAGCCAATTATTATTATTTTTATTATTATTATTAAATGTGGGGGATTGCTTTGCTTGTGTCTATAAACAATATATATAGGACCCATTCAAAATCGTTTTAACTTCGAAGAAGATTACACACAATTTTATACCTATCAGTCATTGTTTCACTCATTAAAATAGTGCAAATAAAGGTTCATGAAATTTTGAGGTCAGAAGTTATGTAACCAGCATGTTTATATTAATACCCGTATTATTTGCAACTTGCATTTAATATACTGTTTCCTGCCATTGTTCCCTCAATAGCCGAAAAATGCTATCGATATGATTTTATGGTCCTTTTCAGCAACCCGTATGTGTCAGACATGAAAATGTGCTGCTGTGCAAGTCACGGTTTTATAGATGTGATACGTGCTGTTAGTATATTATTGGCCTACATGTACCTGTATATACATGTATTGTGCTGGTATGCGTGTTCCTCCCGCTAAAACAAGTGATAAAAAAGTAGAGAGAAATTGCTGGTAGCTAGGCTTACATTTACTGTATGTAGATAATGGGATAGGCCAGGACTAGGTAAAGAAAGGATAGGATAGGAGTCAGAATATAAATTAGAGATCAAAATGAAATAACATAGCTTTAAGTGTTTTGGAGTTTTGAGAGCCTAGCTTGCATGACAATAGCCTCCACCAGGATCGCACTTAAGTCCAGTGGCAGAGAATTGTTTCATGAATTAGCCAAAGACATACCGGTGTCTGTGAAATTTTCAAAAACCGGATGAAAAATCAATTTGTGAACCTGGTAGAGGGCTGAATTAGGACGTCTCGAGATTGAGGCACTTGTGGAAAAGGGCAGGTAAGCTTTTACATAAAAAATATAGCTTTTATAAGATACAGTCGAACCATACTGATAAGTGACAATATATAGTTTTACATAAGAGATTTAATGCTTGACTAAATCGCGACACTTTGCAGGGGCGGATCCATGATTATCTGAAGGGGCTCCGCGTATGGGAAGCCGACCCCCCCTCTCTTGACTAGGGGTTCGGGGCCCACTGAAGGGCCCCGATTATTTTTGTTTGTTTGTTTGTTTTTTAGAGGGCGAACGGCTACATTAAGTACGGTTTAGAACTATGATTCAGCTAGTCAAAATTCTAATTTGAAGAGGGGACCTTTAGAGTCAGAAATCGAAGGGGGCGGGGGGGGGGGGTCAAAAACCCCTGACACCCCCTAAATCCGCCACTGCTTTGCACTAAATCAGGTAATTCCCATTTTTACTTTAAAAAAACTTTTAGCTGAAACCATGGGATTTTTGAGATGGTCCCCAGACAAGTGGGTTTACTTTCAAACTCATGTTATTTTCAACCAGAATAAAACACAATTTCTCCTGTCTGCAGTTGCTCTCTCAGTACTGGTAGTTAAAATACATTCATTGCAGTTTCATTGCCTTGAGAATCAGTCCGTATATTAACGTACTGCAGTATGGTTTTATGTATGTGTCATGTGCTGCTGGCATGTTATGCATGAATATGCATATTCGTGTGCGTCCAGATGCCAAATAAAACGAAGGATATTAAAGGTGAGAGGAGTTTCTGGTAAACGTGTTACTATGTAAGACACGGGGATGAAAAATTTGCTTGATTTTTCTTGTCTCTTGTTACTTTGTATTTCTTTATTTCACTTTTAGTAATCTATATATCTATTTCTTTGTCTTTTTTTATTTTGAAGGGAACACAGGGAAAAGGGGGATCTCCCTCTGGATCAGTTATTATAGACATAGTCGTATAAAATTCCGAAGACGCTAAGGTCTAACAATTATATATGAAAAATACCATAGAATGACTCCAGGGATATAAAGTGAAGTTATGGAAGTAGAATAAGACTGACTTAGTAACACGATGTACTTGTATATAAAATGTGTGTCATACAAGATAAAGATATAAAGTAGATGTATTACAAATGTATTTCAAATATTATACCTATTTGTGTAGGAAATCATATACCATGAAGAGCCTGTAAAAGTAACCGATTCAAACAGGCATTTGCGTTCAATGCTACAGGCTTGTAGTGTGTATAAAGATCACTTTTTACAGGCACGGGATTACTCAAAGATGGACAGCTCCTACCACACTTCGGTTCTTGTCACCAGACACAAAGAGGAGGACAAAATGGGCCCCAACTCGCCTCTCTACAAGAAGCCATGGTGGATACCCCTCACGAATCTGATAGCTTTTGTTGCTGGTCTTCTGGTGGGATTAGTGGTCGGAAAACTAGTATTTGTGAGTATTGGGCCTGGGTTGCTTAAAATATCACACACACGCACACACAATCACAGAGAGAGAGAGAGAGAGAGAGAGAGAGAGAGAGAGAGAGATTCTTTACTAATTAAACTTCAGACAATTAAAACTCAGATACAAATTACTTTTAAAAGAGTATTGAGACAGCACATGTAAACAGTTTTATCATTTTTGTAAAATCATTATAATTTTTACGTTTCAGGACGCTATCTCTGTGCTAGATGTCAATGGTCTCGCCCCAGTTTTACACGGAAACAACTTCACTGGATCTAATCCAACACCAAAAACGCCCTCTAACGGCACCACGCCCAAGTTACAGAAAAATGGCGCCTTCGTCAAGAAACAACGTGTTGTGCAAAAAACAAAGTACTATCAGTCGAGGAAACTGTTTCAGGATATTGTAATATTAAATATTGGCGAAAAGCAGGGGAAAAGTTATCAAAAATCATTTCAGTTTAATAATTCAGTTGTAATATATGTGAATAAATGGTATTAAATATCGATATCTTAACGGCTAGTTTTTTTTTTTTTTTTCTGTCCCACTAATCATGTTAGTTATGGTATCTGAAATGAATGTCATTATTTATAACAATATTCACCTGTGTTGTGATCATTTATAAATAAAAGCACATGATATTGAAGGTGGGACAACCTTTTTGACCAAAGTTGTATATTAAGATTTGATTCCACACGAGTCTATATGTAAATGTTACAAGCATTTTTTCGTCAACGTATCAATACTGTAAGCGTTTGACAAAAAACCTTTATTTACTGCCATACATGCATTCCTTTGGATAACAGATAAATCTTCAGTATTCAGTGACTATATCAATTAACATTTACACACGTTCTTACGGGTTACGTCATAATTGCGATTTTACCTTTAACTGAGCACCCACAAACACCGTATTAACGGCATTTTATGACATCATGAAGTACTCAAAAAACCCTCCCAGCAATTTTTCTCTTTAGCCTTAGTTAGAATTAACAGAGCAAATTAAAACAATGCCTTTGTTTAACCAAAATCTGCAGGAGTTCATAACTCTATAAGAAAAACATTTAAACCAAAGTGATGGCACAGGATTAAAGCAAATAGACTTGCGGTCAACTATGCCAATTTTCGTGATAAAATCTTGTTCAGGGATGAAAGTACGTTTAATTGAGGGTTTTCTGTCATCCAGAGGTACCTCGAATCCGATTATCAACCAAGGATGCCTTGAATCTGAGATTTAATCCGTGTGGTGGCGGGGAGACCATTAAGAAATTAAGCAGGAATATTTAGTCAGTTGTTATCCCTTTAATGAACAAAATTCACATTGACAAACTGCACCTCCAATACAGCGGCTAGCATTCTGTTTGTTCTAGTAGAGTTTTCGCGTGTCGGATCCCAGTCTCGTGAGAAATAGATTCTAAATCCCGCCTCCTTAAGCCCTTTTAGAAACGCCATCTGTTCCAAACTGGGGGGTTTGTTGCTAACGTGAATATGGAACTCCATTGCCATCTGTTTCACATTGCGAAGACTTTCTTCCTGCAGCATTACTGGCACAGCCGTGTACTCTGACAACTCAATATCGAACTTTAAAACGTCAATAATTTTCTGAAATTGCAAACAGGGGAAAAGGTTAAGAATGTTTTCAGAAGTAGATATTTGGCGCTTACGAAGAGTATTTTAAACAAAAGCAAAGGGAACATTCAGAAGCAGACATCGTACCAGCTGGATTGATCCAACTCTGCGGGGATTCTCGCTAAAGTGCAGTCAGTGTAATCAGCTTAATTGTCTGACACGTCTCGAGAAGCTAAGGAAAGAGCACACGAAAGAAAATTACCCCTAGTTGTTAGAGGGGGCATGTCTAAGACTGGATTCACATGTCTAGATCGATCCATCTGGATCGGTCTAACTTCCTGGGGAGTCTCACTAAATCGCAATCAACTTAACCGGCTTAAATATCTGTCACGCCTACCAAATCAGCTAGGGTAAAGATAATTACCCCCTAGCAGCTTTACTAGGCATGACAGACATTTGAGCCCGTTAAGTTGATCGCAATTTAGTAAGACTCCCCAGTGAGATAGATCGATCCAAATATCTGGGGGAATGGTCCCTAAATCTAAATGCTCCCAGATCCAATATCACAAGGAAACACTTTCCAAGAAGTAGTGCGCCATTAGATCGTTCACCTAATCAAATAAACTTAGCAATGTATATCGCAGATCTTATAGTTAATGTAGTACAAACATTTTCATGTCCTAGGGTTTTAATAATAGTTCCCAGCGTATTCACCGGCCGTTTTCTTCCACGCATGTGTTTTTGACCGTTCCATCCCTCGAGGCCCAAGTTATGGAAGATGTTTCCGGGCT